TTCTTCTCATGAGTGAAGTCTCCATTTTATTTCCCAGATTAGAGACAACATTATCACAAACCAGGGGATCATAGGTGAAATTCTTAAGGAATTAGTTGTCTCCCACACTAAGCAGAGGGCTGTGGTGGTACAATTCTCACTTCCATGTGAAAGATTCAGGTTCAGTTCCCATCCAGTGCACTTCATGTCTGTCAACAGGAGTTGTGTGTTGCTATGACACAGAACCATCAACACTCACGGAAGCAGCAGTCAAGAAATCAAACGATGTATTACATTAGGCAAATCTGTGGCACAAGACCTTTTTAAAATGTTGAAGAGCAAAGATGTTAGCTTAAGGACTAAGATGCACCTGACCCAAGCCATGGTATTTTCAATAACGTCATACTCATGCGAAAGTTGAACAGTGAATAAGGCTCAGGCATAGCAATGATTGTGATGTGGGCCCAGGACTGGGTAGTGTTTGGTTCTGTTGTGCGGAGGATTTCTATGAATTGGTACTGACTTGATGGCACCTAACAACAATGAAACGGAACAGTTTCAGTGATGCTTCCAGACTAAGTCAGACTAGGAAAAAGGGCCTGGTGACCTACTTCTGAAAATCAGCCAATGAAAACATCTCTGTGTATAGCAATGGTTTTCTGCAACCTATGATGGGATGGCACAGAACCATGAGATTGCATACAAGGAAAATCAATCAGAATGCCACACCTACTGTGGTCCAAAACAAGAGATACATACAGAGCTGGGATCACCTTAAATTTAAAGTACAGTGAAGTGATATGTTTAAAACATTAATCACTGTTTCTACCCATCTATGCTCCTCCCGATAGTTCCTGGTAGGATCTTCCTTCATGTTCAAGCTGAGATGAGATGCCTCATTGTTTCAGGGACAGGATGTGACAGCAGAAAGCAGAGAAACAAGAATGCTTCTTTTATGCTTCTGAGATTCAAAAGGCCATAGGCTTCATGGCGAAGGAAAGGGACTCACAACATGGACAGTGGACTCTGTAGAAGATAAGACTTCTGAGTGGGTTAATGCACTGGACTGCAAGGTCGGCTTGAACTGCAAAGTCAGTGGTTCAGGTTCACCAGCTGCTCCTTGGAAACTCTACACAGGGTCACTATGAGTTGGAACTGACTCCATGGTACTTTACAACAGCAACAAGACTAGACAAGACTTTCTCAAGCTGGAAGGGAGGGAGGAGAGGGATGTTCATGATGAACACACATATATCAGTGAGTCTCTAAGGCAGTGGTGGTCTTGGTTCTGGCTGGGTTGGAGTGTGGAGGGAAGGTGATAGAACCTACCTCCCAGAAGGCTGGTAGGATCCAAGAGCAGAGGGGAGAGCATGGTGCCTCATATTCTGTGAAGATTCCAGATAGGCAGGAAGCCTTCAGAAAGAAACGGGGTAGGTCCTGATAGCAAACTGATTGTATGCCAAGCTTTGCTTGAAGTGCTTGATACATATCAAATCATCCCAATTCACAAGTCTTTGAGGAAAGTACAGATTCCATCTTTATTTCAGAGTCAAGGAAATTGAAGTCCAGATAACTTAGAGTTTACAAGGTTCTTAACATGCTGACATGGCTAGGGGAGAGAGAAGGGTTGGGAGGGAGTCCAAGAACTTTGTGGTCCTGAAGGGGTCTTGCAGACAGGAGTGAGAGAGAGCTCAGTGCGACCAGCTCATAGCATCTCAGAATACACCAGTATTAACTCAAACCAAACCAGTTACTACTGAGTCCATTACAACTCTGTTACATGGAGACTCCACGTGCATCTGAGTAGAATTACCCTCCATATTGTTTTCAATGATTTGTGTCCTTCAGAAAATGGGTCTCCATGCCATTCTTCTGGGTCACCAATGTGTACCTTCAATTGGTCATTGAGTGCTGAACTACTTGTCCCACCCAGGGACTCCTCAGTATGAACAGATGATACTAAACTACAAATGCCCTCCCACCTCCACAGGCCTCAGAACTTACATGTGATCCTTAAGCAAAGCACTGGGAGAACATTCCAAACTGACTAAGTTTTTACCATCCTGGGGTAACTGGCTCTAAGCAGAAGCTGTTACATTAAGTTAAACTTGTGGTTTGGGATTTATACCCATTTTAGACAGGAAAATGCACCCAACATTTCCATCTCTGAGTATTAGCTCTACTATATGCAAGACAATTTGCAGTAAAGCAATGCTAAGATCATACTGCCTTCACATAAAACTAAAGGATGCTGTGTTCCTGAAACAGCGTAGGCACTGAGATGGCAACGTGTGCACCTGCTGAAAGCTGCTAATGTTGTTTGTACTAATGGGCCCAGCGCACTGATGACTCACACAGAACATTCACCTTATTACCCAGTAATTGTTGGAAAGCACCTTTTTCCATTTCAGCATATTAATGGCTACTGTTCCCCTAGTTCACATAGGAGTCTTGAAACCTCCCATTTCTGACATAACACATAAAAATCGGATTTTTGTTTCTTCTTTGTTCTTAAGAATTAGAAATGTGTCTAAATTAAGTCAATGACTGGCTTGGTTCCGGAGCTTTAAGTTTTCTATAAGTCCGTAGAGGTGCCGTGGAGTCAGTTCCAACTCGTAGTGATCCTGCACAGGGTTTCCAAGGCTGTAAATCTTTATGGGAGCAGAAAGCCTTGCAGACAGGAATAAGAGATAGTTCAGTGCGACCAGCTCAGAGCATCTCAGAAAACACCAATATTAAATCATTCTTTCTTCCACAGAACCACTGGTAGTTTTGAACTGCTGGCCTTGAGATTAGCAGCCCAACTCTTAACTACTACGCTACCATAACTCTTTGTAAGTCTGTAGAACTCATATTTTAAATTCTGAGTTGTAAGGTAAAATGTTGAGTGTTTTGCAAAATGTTTGAACTCCTCCTAGTGGCCACCAAGGAGCACAGAGCACATGAGTTATAGTAAAACTGTTCAGTACTAGGAATCATGAACTGAGTCAGATAGCCTTGTGTATGGCTGCAAAGCCTCCTGGCACCATCTTGCTTTAGCTGTGGCTTCCTTGGCCAGTACCAATCAGACTTTGCCAAAGGAGCCCACACACATGGGGTTCAGCACTCATGCAAGGTTGCTTAGCACCAATGGACCCATGCTTGGCCAGTGGAGTCTGGAGCCCATGATTTTGTCTCACTCTCTTCATCTCTAGAAGGAGACTTCTGAGATACATTTTATAAGATATCTCAGAAGTTCTCAGCGAGATGGAGGGTTGCCACCTGGAGCAAAGGTCAACCCTGTAAAGTTTCTTATATTAATTTTCCTTGTTCCCCTCCAGCATTTCCTCTTGCTCTCTGGAATCCCTTCCCCTGGAAACTATCTGCAAGTAAAACTTGTCATGGCTCAGCTTTTAGTGAACCCAGACTAATCCAAGCCATGGCATTGGTTAGGTGATGGATGGTTGGGTGGGTTTTGCCTCTGGTCAACCTCTACCTGGCTGTGTGGCTTTAGATTAGTCACGTCACATCTTCACAACTTTCTTGTAGGTAAAATGAGAATGGAAACGTACTCGTTACACAAATATCTATTGCACACCTTCCATATCCAGGCGCTATTCTAAGTACAAGGAGCCCTGGAGGCACATCATAATCCAAAGACATCCATTTTTTCCCCATCATCCCTATTCATTGTCCTGCTTGCTCAAGACTACCACCTAGGCAACCCTATGGGGTAGTTCTGCTCTGTTCTATTGGGTTACTATGAGCCCTCAACATCCACAGTTCTTTGAGAGTTGCACTGACCGCATTTGAATGGGAAGGAAATAGCCGTGTTGAGAAAGGAGGAGTCTTGTCCTTGGTCACTATGAAGCAGACATTCCCACATCCTGGGTTCTGATCTGGCCACAGCTTTTCAGAGCTGCCCAAGAAAGGAGATGTGAAAGTTCACTGTGAGCGCAACTTCAAACGGAGCCCCATTGATGAAAAGAAACCACAATCCATTCTGAGGAATTCTACAATAATTCGTGTATAGTCTGAGAAGAGATAAAAATAACGTCAAACAGGAAAAGACTCCTTTTCACTGGTTTGGTCAGGCATCTTGACCTTTTTTTTAAGTCCTTAATTCTTTGCTCATTTGGGCATTTGTTACATGTACATATTTCAAAGTATTTTTTTTTAGTATATAAAATGAAAATAAAAAGAACCTGAGTCTGATAAGTAACCCATTCTTCTAAAGAAGTATGTGAGATAAGTTCCCCACTGTACTTTTTTTTTAATGTTTTATTGTGAATTATATGATACTTTACATGGGAGAATATTAGTTTTACATTCATCCTATCGTATATCATTTCATTGCCATGGTTACAATCCCTTCCATGCATCACCAACCAACAAAAGAGAATACCCTACAAGCCTGCAACCCAGTCAACAGCACACAGCTCCTTTCCCTCTCTGGATCTAAAGTCTCCAGCTGCTCCATCTCTCCATGCCATCATCTCTGCCTCCATCTCAGGCATCACTGCTTCTCTGGGTAGGGTCCCGCTCTCTGTTCTTCTCCCTTGATGGTCCCAGGGACCCCCGCTCCTAGACTGAAAAGTTAATCACTCCCCTCCTTTTGCTACAAAAGTCTATGTTTACATTTCCAACCCTCACAATCAGTCCTGATGACAATGATTCACTATTATATCACAAGAGACCTATCTGCATTTCCTTTCATCAGCCCCGCCTAGACAGATTGCATACTACTCAGTCCCCACTGTACTGTGAAATCTTGTATAGGGTTTCAAAGGAGTGGCTGGTGGGTTTGACCCACAGACCCTTTAGTTAGCAGTCCTTGGTGGTACTAATTCCATCTGAGTGAATTCTTACAAAAGAAGAGACAGAGAGTTCTGCTGCACCTGTAAGCCCAGGGGCACCTGGAGCTATGAGAAGTCAGGAGGAGACAAGAAAGGATCTTCCATGAGAACATGGCTCTGGAATGTACTGAATTCAGGCTTCCAGTTTCCAGAGCCGAGAGACAGTAAATTTCTTTATTGTTGCTAAGTGCCGTTGAGTCGATTCCGACCCGTAGTGTTTCCAAGAAGCAGCTGGTTAACTTGCATAGGGTTTCCAAGTTTGAACCTTGCAGTTCAAACAACTTTGCAGTCTAATGCATTAGCCAAAGGTGCCACACCAGGACTCCAGAATTCTTTATTAGCCACCCAATGTGTGGGACTTTGTTATGGCACTCCTAGGAAACAAATGATCACTGCTAATACACACTGCTTTGTTAACCACAAGGTTGGAGGTTCAAACCCACCAGCCACTCCTCAGAAACCCTATACAGGCTTGCTAAGTGTTGGAACTAACTCAACAGCACTAACAACAACAGCAGCAAGACCTGACGCTCTGCTCCCGTAAAGAGCACAGCTTCTAGAGAACATCTTTTCTCTGTCACATGGCTCACTAGTAACCAGAATCCACCTCATGGCACCTAACAACAACAGCAATTACAGCCAGACTGTGGGTTCAATTTAGCAAAATCATTCAAAGGTATGGGACTTTGGGTACGGGACTGCCAGCTCCCAGGGTTCCCAGCTGCAGAGCCCTGATGGCGAAAGCCCCTGTGATGAGAAGAAGAGATGTACCCACCAAATCTGACCAAGGCTGAGATGCCTGGTCAGACCACAGAGGCCAGGGTCTGAGGAGCAAGGAGTTGTCGTTGAATATAGAGACAGAAGCAGACGAATGAACTATTGCCTGGAGCCAGTAGAATTTTTAAAAACCTGTCCAAGTATTCTGGTAAATATGCTGGCAATGAACCCTTTGACCCTTATTTGCAAAATATGTCAATTATTAGGCCTGGTCTGCAGCTCTGAAACAAGTACAGAGCATTTCGCTGTAAATGATGATTGGATTTTGGGGGTAGGGGTTGAGATCTGGCAGCTGATGAAAATCAAAAGGGGTCCTGACACTGATCATGCCTTTGTCCATCAATCAAATGCTTGTTGCAAGCCATCTCTGCTTAATTCACTTTCATCTTTGATGGTTACAGGTGTGTGAAGACAGGGCACAGTGAGAATGCATTGCTTGTTAGTTTCTGCTTCATTGTTTATTGTGGTCTTCCATTCACAGCAAGAGTACTACATTGGGGCCACATACCCACATTCACCTCATGAGAATTCAACTATTCACATTTGGAAAGAGAGAGAGAGTGCAAGAAAGAATAGCTATTTAAATAGCATGGGTGATCCTGCATGCTGTTCCATTATTGGATCCTATGCTCAGGAGTACTGGTGTGACACTGTGAAATAAGCACTGAACTTCTAACCAATAGGTCACTGGTTCAAACTCTCCAGTCACTCTTCAGAAATTCCATACAGGGTCACTATGAGTAAGAATGGACTCTGTGGC